TAGTTTATTATTGAATATGTACATAAAATGATAAATATATGGTTTTATGCAAAGTACTGCCGTTTGTTGTAATAGCAGTGTGTGTTTGTTCTTAAAATGTCTAGTATAGATATGTTATATTAAAAGTGCGTAATATTAGGTACTAATTGTATGATTTGAGACCAATAATGCGTGAGTTAATTGCTTGTGTTACTTATTATTTATCTAAAATATTTTAAATAAACTATGAAGAGTCAGATAGATGTGTGAATAAGAATTTGTTTATGCATAGTATATAAAATAATGGAAATTTCCTATTTTTCGAATAATGAACATTTCTTATTTTTAGAAACGAACATGTACTTCATAATCTTTTAAAATATAACCTATGTCATATAACAAATTGTTTTAGTAAGGTATTACTCTATTATTATAGGTTAAAATTATTGTAATAAATTTAATAATAGGTTAATATCATAATTTTGCATTAATAATACTAAAGTTAAACAAAATTTTGATACAGAATTTGTGCTTAACTTTAAATACTTGATATAAAAAATTAAATAAAAAGAAATTACATAATTTCCTGTACAAATCAAGAAAAATGATCTTAACAATTATTTTTTTATTGCTATATATATAATGAAAACTACTTGCAGACTCACTCTTAATGATTTTTTAAAACCACGTTTCCCACTTACATATTTTATCTGTGCTTATGTATGAAAGGCTGTATAATAAATATTCTTCTACAATCTTTAAATTAGGCTATTTCCATAGGTACAATGCTCTGCACTTTCTAACTTAATGTGTACACTATTAAATTAATATTGCTACAATATACATAAACTGTTATGTTATGGAAAAAGTTTATTACAATATATTAATCCTGCATTAAAGTTTTCAAATTTATTTATATACTTCCATAATATTCGAAACAGATTAAACTATGTATTATGTAACATTCAATTTTGAAGTACTATATACATATTCCACAATTGATAAAAATAAAACATTTTTAAAAAAGGCCTAAATAAGGCTGAACAAATTTTACATACTACTATTGCTTCACTGTTGTACTTATTTAATCACAAACATAAGAATCAGCAATGCTTTTACATTGTACATCATCTTCTGTTAATAAGCTTACAATTAATTTCATAATACTATCCCGCAATAGATGAGAAGAAACAAAAGAATAAGTAGAATAATATATTATTATTAGTTGTATGCTATAAATAAAATGGGTCACTTATAATAGGAACA